ATGGACAGCCGTTTACATTCTGCTCTAAACAGTTCCGGCTCAGTCTAACACTCACCCCCTCCTTGTGAGATACCTCGACTTGCACGCTGTAGATGGTTAGTCCCCACTTGGTGACTTAGTCGATGTTCTATTTCTTCAAAACCACGTTACTTCCCCTACGTGATTCAGAACGGCGAACAATCCGGCCATGCTGGACTTCGTGTTTATCAGTTAGGAATTTATGATGGGTACGCTAATGTCGAATAACCTCTTGGTGTGCAGCGATCATTCAACACTGCGTTACCACAAAGTTTGCTACACATAATAGTTCAAGGGGATATTGAGGAGGTTCGTATAGAAACACCTAACAGTATGTATCCGATCTCCTCTAGGTCACCAACTGACGAGTAGGACCCTTAAATGAATGACCGTGAGAGCTTCACTTCAATAACCACACAAAGTCATTCCAAACGCCGAAAACTAAAATCCTTAGATAATAGTGAGAAAAAGTTGTGTCAGTCTGGTACGCTAGGAACAAGTAAAACACCAAGATGATTTAACTAAAAAGTTCTGCTCCAACCCGCCACTAAGTTACAGGTAGGTAAAAAAACTCGGCAAAGTACAGCCAGGCATTCCACCTCTAAACACCGTCTGTGAACAATTGTGAACTGTCCACGAAGCGGCGAACGCTCTTAAACATCAGCTCGCTTATAGTTTCCTGAAAGCACCGCCATCTCATACCTTTCTGACGTGGATCACATCAGCAACAGGACTTGGCCACATTACGTTCACAGCTGCGGATGTGCTCAAGCGACTGATGTCACAACGCGCGTGCTGTTGGTTTGGTCCGGACAACATACGCCCTGCCTCATTGATGGTAAGTGCCACACGCTTAGATCAACATTTAGGTCCGTTTTCCACTGCTATCTCGACGTAATTCAGGTTCCAAATATGTGAAGGCCTGCAACAGTCACGCGCATTTATAATGGAGGCAAAGGCATTGTGTCAACAAATCACCGAGTGATTATTCTACATTCTGTGCTTGCTAAATTTATAGAAGCTGGAACCCTCATTGCCCTGCGACTAAATTACGCCCCAATTTTCGAACTCGCAACCTCTATCTGTCCTATAATGCCATTCACATTACCGACTCTACTGTTTACACATGTAATTTTCAACCCGTCAATTGTGCTAAGAAAGTTACTGTCACTGCGTGAGCAAACTTCTCCGGGTACAGACAACATCGGCCCGAAGGCACTGAAGGCTGTAACCAATAAGCTAGCTGAACCCCTGTCAAAGTACTTTCAAAGGTGCTTTGATGAACGACAAGACCCTACTATGTGGAAGTGTGGCATGATCACCCCAATTATTAAAGGCGGTGGCCGTTCAAATCGTACAAACTATTGTCCAATGACTCTCCTCCCTGTGCTCGCGAAGGTGATGGATGCAGTCGTCGCTGAGGCTTTAATGGACTACCTGAAAATATGCAACATCTTTGTATCGGAGCAGCATGTCTTCCGTCAATACCGGTCATGCACCACCAACGTACTGATTGCACGAGGTAGCTGGACGGAAGTGGCTAATGATGGGGTCGGAGTTGATGTCATCTATCTGGACTTCTCCAAAGCTTTCGACCGCCTTGAACACCGCATCCTACTTCAAAGTCTACAGAGCTACTGAATCGGAGGTCCTGTACTTGCTTGGATTGGAAACCTCCTTCGCCAACGGAAGCTTTAAGTATATGTCAAGGGTTCAATCTCTAAGCCGTTTGAGGTGGAATGTGGTGTCCCACAAAGCTCAGTGCTGGGACCGCGCTTATACCTGGTGTTTATCAACGACCTGTCAAGACTTATCTCTCCAAATTCTCTGCTTTTCGCCGATGACGTCAAGATATGGCGGCGATTAGTAACAAACAAGATCAGGATCTGCTCCAACATGACCTAGATTGCATTTACGAATGATCAAAAAGGAACAAGCTTCAATTGAACATAGATAAAAGCAAATGATACATCTGCCTCACCAGCCGGTGAGCGCTTACAAGCTTGGAGACCACATCTTGGAGAATGTCTCTCAGGAGCGTGATCTGGGTGTACTTGTACAGGAATATCTCGGATGTTCAAAGCAAGCAGAGAAGGCTACGAGAACCAGCAATCAACACTTCGCCCTGCTTCGCAGGGCCTTCTGCCGGTTTGAATCCACAATCTTTCCCCAACAGCTTAACACCTACGAGCATCCGCAAGTGGAATATGCTAATAAGACGTGGCAGCCGTGGCAGAAACAGGATCTCGTTGCTCTCGAGACTCCTCAACGAAGGGCAACCAAGAACGTCAGGGACCTCTTTCATCTGCCCCATCAGCTTAGACTGAAATCTCAAAGAATGGACAGCAGTCGATATCGGCTTTTGCGCGGGGATCTCAGAATAGTTTACCAGATTCTGAAGAACCCAAACCACATTTGCCGTCCGCTGCTCTAAGTGAACCACAACACTAAACTAAGAGGTCACCCTCTGATACTGACAATTCAGTATAGCCGGCTTGAATGCCGTAGCAATTTCTTTTCCCTCCGCGTGTGACAGCCTTGGAACGCCCTCCCTAATTATGTCGTCTCTGCTTCCAATCTGGCGATATTTAAGTAACGTGTTGACGATGCATTGCTTAATTTATATTTCCTTTTATGACTTGTTAGCCAGAGACTACAAAACGCAATCAAACGGTGTCTTGCCAAACGCCTAAGCAATGAATTAATGGATTTATACGTTTAGTACGTGAACATCTGCGCTATTTCTACATAAGTCTATGATGAGTCCACCACAACGCTTTTCACTTTATCACGCAATTCACCTTTCGCAATAATTTCCATCCCATGGGACTTGTTAAGCAATGCTTTTTACCCCTTATAACCCATTGTGCCATTGTTCCAATGTTTAGGTGCAGCATTTTCTTGAAAAAGCATCATCTCATCCAAAACTGCCCATGTACTACGAAGCTTTTGTTATCCAGTGCTTGCTCGACGGAAACAGTCGATGAAGGCGAATAAGTTGACGCCGCCTACCTTGATTCCTCCAAAGTCTCTGATCACCTAGATCGCCTCATGCTTCCTCATGAGATTCGGAGCTATGAGATCGGTGACCGCATGCTGGACTACAAACTGTCATTGCTAATCCAACGCCGTTGGTATTTGCGACTTCGTAATGCCTTACGCGACCCGACAGAATTTCACCTTGGCGTCCCTCAACACTCGGTACCAGGATCACGTCAATTCCTTGTGTTTGCAATCGACCTCATGGAGGTGCTCACCACAAGTCTTATACTGTAGTCGGACGATCCCAAAATCTGACAGCTAATCAAGGAAGTACGCCAAATCGTGAAGCTAACCACAACTATGCTAAGGAGTGGCCTGCTCAAAGTGTGCTTGAATTCAACCCGTTCATGTGTAAAATTATATGCATGCGCCACCGGATCACCTAGAAATATCGATTATAACACTATTTGCTTAGCTTGAAGTAGTGAAGCCACGTATGTAAATACGAAGCTGATATGTCGCAAGTCTTCACTTGGCGTTAGTAGCGGCAATACATTCTATCCAGCTTAAGCAAAATTTCAGTGGGAAACGTAACATTCATAGTGTGGAGAGCTGTGGTTGTCACTCCAATTAGGCTAACGAAAATGGTATTACAGAAGAGTAGTAGGGAGAGTTGAATGTTATAGGCAGAAATTCATCACATCTAAGCTCACTCAGACAGCCGTCACACGCCCGGGAAAGCACTGTACGTACGTTTCCTCATTTCGGGAATCGTCAACAGCGCGCATTCCATCGGAACCCTGGTAGGGCTCGAACCCCCAACTTGACTGTTGCCAGTCAGTGTTTGAGACCACTGAGCTACGGGGGACGGCAACAACCATCGTAAATAAGTTACTAGATGTGATATAGCGCCGCTCACTATCCACTGACTTACACGTTACTGCCGTGCATAGGACAGGGTAGCCCGCTCACCAATATGCTATTGTTCTACGAAAATATAAGCCACTGCGCAATTGAGCACTGGACCGTCACTGTTGCTACATTTCGTCGACTTATCAGTAGTTTTTACGAGGGTGCTCCTCTTTTCCTATTTTCGTTGGACTGTAGCATAAATGTATGTGTAACATTTACGCTGCAGGAAGCATAAAAATATTCTTGCACGTGGAATGTTCCTAATCTGGACTCTGTACAGTTGAAACATGGTTAACGGATGTGCTTTCCCCAATGTGCATCACCAGAACCACACGTGAAATACATATTATGTAATCGGCAGATGATAAAATGCCAAGCCACTTGTATGAGTTTAGGCGGCACATGTGTACGTCAGAAGATAACATTTTCCTGTTAACAGTTATAAGTGGCAGATGAAAAGTCACCGATATAGTTAGGCGGTTGGTCTGTCTCCGCTTATCGTGAAACGACAAACGGGATCCCATGTCAACTCTTGCCGACCTTATTGTCACTGTTGGGGTCATTGATTCGGATTGGTCTTTGAGGTGCAGGTGATTATCTAATTCTCAGTATATCAACTATCAGCGACTTATTTGCTGACTCGTTCAGAGTAGTATTTTTGTTCTTACCTTGAACTGAGATTTCTATTCCGTTGATGAATGAAAATGTGGACCCGGGTACGCTAACTGCGTACATTGGTATACCCACATGTACACAGAATCTCCTTGAGCTATCTTTGGATTCACGGCGTCAATTTTTAGCGGAATACTTTCACCCAAGATGACATTCTCTAGAACGCATCTAGTAACATGATGTGACCAGATTTCACTCTCCATCCATCAGCACAGAGTAGATTAGCCTCTGGCTGCTCTGCGTGCAGTGTGCATTCGGCGACCACCAGTAACATTACCGATTCGAGGAATAAAATAAACAAACACCTCGTGATTAGCAGACAGTATACTTCAGTGTCACGAAACCTTTCATTGTAATCACGCAAATGCGTACGAACGTATGCACACAAGCGCATCAATCGAATGGAACGAAATGTCCAAACGCCGACCTTGATAATGAACATCTTATAAGAGAGTATGACAGAGAACTGCGATCATTTTGTTCCGCGTTTCGTCCAAGCGACCTAGCATGAACTTACGATTGTGGTTCATCGTTGTTGCCTGCTTCATCTGTCTCGGACCATTTGTGACTGCGCATCACGGTGGTGGAGCTAACCACAGCGACCATCACGAGGAGGGGCATCATGACGAAGCAGTATCCACATCGCAAGCAGTACCCACGTCTCAAGCTGCGAAACCGGATGGGAAGAATGAGGTAGACCAACGGGCGGCGCAAGACGAAGCAAACGGAAAAGGGAAAGGTCAAAAAAGCGAAGCTGAGGTGAGCAATTCAACAGGGAACAAAACTGTTAGAATTGTTAGCACTTTGCCGATTGTTTGATTTAATCAGGAAGTGTTTGAAAACTTATTACGCAACGCAAAGTTAGTCATTATGAACCGCGTCAATGAGTGAAACCCATATATAAATTAAAGAATGGAATTAAATGCCGATTATTTGCATGTAGCGATCCGTGTGTCCGACGGTACCACATACTGTGTCATTCTCTTATAGATAAAATTATGTTATGTCCCCACTGCTATTAAACGACACCATGGTTATCTGATATCGACAAATATTCATTTAGGTAGTGGTCCACACTTGTTGATACAACTGAATGTCTCACTGCACACACAACTTAAATCCTGCTACTTATGAGTACTATAAAATCAACTGCCTCTTCTAGTTTCAAATGCTATAGATATAGCGTCTAGTGAGAGGACGTCATCACCTTGCAGGCTAACCACTGTCAGTGACAGTGGTAGATAGGTGGTGCTATATCTGAGCTAGTTTGCAAATTATGTAGCCCAGCCAACGTCCCCCATGGCTCAGTGGCTTAAGCTGCTGGCTAGTTGGCATCTGCCTCTAGCGGTCATGGGTTCGATCCTCCTTAGAGGACCGAGGGAATGCGCGCCACTGACGAGCCCCAATAGGGCGAAACGCGTCTGGCGCTTTTCCGGACTAGGCTGTGCTATGTAGTTTGTGAACTGTTGGGATGAAAGCCTTATCAGATTTACAACTTAAATCCTGCCACTTATGAGTACTTTAAAATTGGGTTTCTTTCTGAGCAGCAGGATTAAATTACATGGGTGTAGTAAGGTGATTTGAACGGTGTAAGTTGTATTTCATCACATCTTGACCCAGTCAGACAATCATCACGCGACCGAAAATACCCTGCACAGTTGTGTCATCCTTCCGGGATTTGTTTGCAATTCTCATACCATCTGATCTCCCCGGGGCTATAACCCAGAATCTGATTGCTACCAGTACATGGCGAAGACCAATGGAAATTTGGGGACGACTAACTTGACCTTGTTACCAGACGTGCCACACAGCCGTTCGTTATCCACCGACTTGAATGTTACCGCTGTCAGATGGAATGCGTACTACTGTAGATCCATGAGGATATGGGATGCTCGTACAGTGTATTTCCTAACGTGTTTTGCCTGTCTTACCTTCTAGTTGTTGTACGAACAGTTGGTTGAGTTTGGCAGGTTTGCAGCAAATGTTTCATGACCGCTCGATGCGAAGACGTCAGTGCGTTAATAGGTAGCATAACCTGGCGTAGCGATGCATAATTAAGCATGGACCGGGTGGTCTAGCGCATGTGTTCAGAGGTTGTCGCTGTCGGTCGTTTGAGCAATTGCCTTTAAAATTGTCCTCCGCTACCCATTCCTTGTGAACATGGTCCGCTTGTTTCCGCGGCTGGAAGTACTACCCCAGCTATTTGTGTCATGTCCTTTTCTGCTAAGTTCATTCGACGACGGTGATGGTCCTTTGCTGGTAGATTTCCATGGTTGGCGTCTTATCCAACTTGTCGATTAATTGAATGTTTCGTGGGGTCTCACGCATCTGGAAGAGCTGAACTTCTGAGTAAAATTGTAGTTCGTATGTCTTGTTCATCATAAACGTACTAATTAACGGTTTCATATACTTCATCCATGTAAGCAGTGATAAGAATCAGTGTAGTCAATGTACCATCGGGATGATTGAAAACAAGAAGTACTTCAATAGGCCGCTCTCAACAAACCACGTTAACTCTCTAGCGCTTAATGTGCAGCAAATAATAAGCATGGTTAAAACACTGTGCTAATTTTTCGTGTGTGGACTAGCAAAATCGGTTAAATTTGTGGATGTTTACCTTGTGTGTCCTTCCACAACTACTGCTTTTCACCCATTCGCGAACCAGTCCAAGTTCATCAGTCTGAACGTATGGCATGGAGGAGCTCACCCAGCACCGGAGAAGCTCATTGTCTTCAACACGGAACGTTATGGGAATTGGTCCGATTGGTCAGAATGCCTGACGAGGGATTGTATTGAAGTTCGCTATCGTACGTGTCTGGACGACTCCTGGGAACGACCAAGTCCCAGCAAAATTCACACCACAAAGTGTCTGAGCAAGTATTATGCAGAAAAGCGCACGTGTGAAAACAAAACAGCGTGTTCGTCTCCAGGTAAGTGAAATCTATTATTGTGTGGCTTATATATACCAAACTGGACCCATTAATTGCTAGTAACTCTTATCTTGAATCTTAAGTGTGGCATACAATGGCCCTTGAACAGTTAGAGCACGTATCATAGAGTGCGCCGAACTGATGCAGCGCATGGACTTCCCAATACATTTGAGAGGTGTACGCAAAGCTGGAATTCTAAATTGATTATCATAGGCCTAGCTACCTTGATCAAAGCGTCCTTATGCTGAATATTTATTAGTACTTGACTGGAGCCTCAATAGGGACGTACTCAAAAACATTCGCTTGGTGCATTTTCCAAGTGATCACGCCGTCATTGACGGCGGTTCTGATATCTCGAGGAAAATTGATTTGGTTGTTTTCGAAAACCACCGTTTCAATTTTGGCGAGAAACGAAGTTCAAGTCCTCATGAAGTCCAAGTCAAAGAAAAAATAAATCTTAGGAGCCCAAACGGTAAAGTGAAGATAGCGTTACCATAATTAGAAGTGCAGGAAATTAAAACCACGAATTGAAATGCGCAGGAGAGGCGGAGAGTATTTTGAAAGGTTACTGTGCAGTGAACGAAATCGGTTATTTGGAAATTATGGAAAACATTACAGCAGATGTTAAGATGTCCAGGAAAGATCAAATCGTCTAACAAATGTCCTGATGAGCCATTTCATCTAGAACTGTGCTTTATCGACAATACCAGTAAGGTGTATTATTTCCGGCGCAGAGCAGGGAAAATGACAGGGAAACAGTATGACCTACAGTGGATACTGCATAATATGGCCACACCTGCCAGTGCACAAGTAAGGTTTGTGGTCGGAAAACAATTCGAATCCTCATACGTGTGGGAGACCTCGAGGTCTGCACAACTCAAGCGCGACCGCGGGTAGTTGCGTAGCCTCGAAACGCCAGCACCATCTTCCGTATTATTTCTGACGTCGGCCCACATCGAGCATTTTCGTTGCCAAGAAGCTACTTGCGTTTGAAAGTGAAATCTATATTTTAGAGTTTAGTACCACAATAATGTGAAGAATGATGAAATACTCTCTTGAATCCACACCTCAGATGACTTTCCTCCGTTGGTAAATTCCCATAAAACTACTAGACTAACGACTCCATAAATGTTGCAACCAACTCAATCCGCGAGTGTGGGCTGTTTTCCCTGGATCATTTCAGTCGGTTGTAGCTTACAAATTTTTGATCTAACACTCGGAGGCTACACAAAAGCCAGTTGCAATTCAGCAACATAACCAGTAACTCAAGTTTGTGTTCCAATGAATAGGTACATTTGAGTGCACACTTTTAACTTATTGTCGGTGAGAGCATCTGGACGCTAATGCTTATGTTAAACCATCATCAGGTCTACTAGAAAGCAGCACGTATCGCCTTTATGTTGAAGACAAGTAAGATGTTGTTCTGCGATATGGTTCGATAACTGGCCGAGTCAAATGACATTCCCACCTCGACACTTATTCCTGGCCCGTTGAATGTTGGCTTAGATTGCTATTACCAATAACGATCTCCATGCTACTTGCTAAATCCACTTATGACAGTGCAATCTAAATTTAACCACTTGCGATGTGGCATAAAGTAATAGATGCATATAACTGAAGGGGTGTAGTTCCCCTAGCAAACAAGTATGTCTGTCATAAATTGCGACCGCATTGTTCGTGCTGTCGTGCTTCATCCGGATTTACGCTTCAAATTATGGCGAGACACTTGTGCGTGTGTTCATTCAGATCGGTTTATTGCGTGCTAATCAGTGCTCAGTACCTCACTGCATCTAATTTGGTTGAATACTATAGTTGTAACAATTAAAAAATTATCAAAATTCTTCACTGAAACCCACAGGCACAACTGCATTAAATTTAGGCTGATCGAAAATTCTTCCGTATTAATCGGAAGAAGAACCAGAGGGCCACCCAACGAACACATAATGCTTGATGTTGCCCGCTGTGCATAAATATCACGAGACAGTTCGCACACTTTCTCTGCTGTGCGTCGTGGTGGGGCTAGCGTTTAATCTGATCTTCATCTGATACTATCGTTTGTGGTACAGCGATCAACGCACCGCAGTTTTGCGATGATGCGTCTGAAGTTGAGCGATTCGTTTTTTACGCACTGATAAGAACTCGGCTTGGTAAATCCACCTATCTGCTCATGATTATATAAGACAGACAGTTTGTCAGCCACATCTGCCTAGGCGCTGAAACTAGGCAACTTGTCACTGACTGCAGCTTAAGAGAACACCGGTAGTCAACACCTCGTTTAATTAATACCATGAGTGAGACCGGCCTCTCGGATGGGTCAGGTGGTGAGTGCATCATAAGCATGCTGCAAAACATGTCGGAATAAGAAAGTCGCAGTTTGACCTTTCCAACAAACTCACTGCTTTTAAAAATTAAGGTCCAAGTGAGTGCTGGGTGAAGAATTTTTTCGTGAAACTAATCGGAACCAAACGTTTACATGGCAGAGATTATGTTATGTTAGCGTGAAATTGGGCTAGGAAATTGATTATGGGGCTGCTTGAATAGTTCACTCCGTACCTCATTGCTAAGCTGCAGATGGTAAGCTAAGTAAAATGTGCAAAGTATCAGATAAAAACCCTACCTCACAACATAACCGGCTCGGGTGGTAACCAAACTGTTAGGTTACCCTGTCCGTTGGCCAAGATAATTGTACCGGACGGAAGTACCGCTTTTGCACACATAGTTTGGGCATCAAATGCCGGATGTATTTAGTCTCTGTAATGGACATGAGCTACTTGCTGAGGCCTTGTGTGATATTTTTGGGCAAAGAGTATCTGACTTTGAAATCATCCCCGGAGGCCGTGCAGCCAGTATCAAGGAGATGTGACAGAATAGAGTTAGTTTAAGGTTTCATCTCGCCTTTGTAGAACCGGGCCAGTATGTGTTTGCCAATCATCTGAGATAGGCGCCTCGTAGTGCGACACACTTTTAGTGCACCACAGGAGTAGGAGTAATGATAAACGAGCATTGAACGAATCAACGAGGTCATTCCATGCTTCAAAGATATTGCCAGCAACTACTTGTTGTAGTAAACAGTCCTAAATCGAGCCCAATGAACAAACTGCGGTGTGACCATAATACACAACACACACAAACAAGGTGTATAAACACTTCATCGTTTCGTCAGGTTAATAGCTCGTCAAGAACATAATTGTCTCACACTTTGGAACAAAATAACCTAGGCATTCTTCTCCAATCGGCTTTTAGCGTGACTAATGAGGCAAGCTGGCTGTAGCGGCATTTGTACCGTTGCAGCATCCATAAAAACCGGAAGCTAACAACGACAGTTTATTCTATCATGTCTCAAATCAATCGTGAGTAAGTGTTCCACTGGTACGCAGGTGATCATTTTTGTCTCCCAACCACGACCAACACTCTACTGATAAGTACTCATGGAAAGCCAGGTGTTCTGTCTACACAACGTAGTGACTTTCTTGAATCAATACTAAACTCTTTAAAAGGAAATCGACCGGAGAAGATAAAACCTACCGGTTGTCCCAACTAAGCAGTCAAGACTGTACAGGATCGACCCACCTATGAATTAAATGCACTCTAGCTAAGTTTGGTCATGACATCTCTTCTCCAGAACGCTTCCTGTTTGGCCCTTGCCTTTCCAGACATTCAGTGGAAAGAGCCTAAAAGATCGAAGTGAAGTCTGAAGGAATGCAGCGTGCATACTGTAGTTAGATACTCTTTCACTCACATTGTTCGCATAAGGGTGTTAGATATAACGCAAAGACTTTCGGCCAAAGGCTATGAAGCAACGTTTGTGAGACAGCTTTAAAGCTGACCCCAACTTTAGACCACGAATATCAGCAACCTACAATGTGTGCGGTCCACAGATAATAAGAGCCATATTTAAATTCTTCAAATAAATTGAACTACCAGAACGCTTATAGTCACATGGTAACAGACTACCAAGTAAAATCCTGCTCAATGCTGACAAGTTTGCAGTCGTCCGATATGAAATGCCTGCTGAGCAGGCAGATAAACTGGGGGAGATATTCGAACGGAGCAATAGCCAAGGAACTCATCATCTAATCACGTAAGCACACCGCATTGTGCAAAATGGGTTGGCCGAAGCGACAAGTACCATACCACCAATCAAGCCAAAGCAGCTCACCGACTACACAATAACGGCGACTAGCAGCCAAGAAGTCCGCGATTAGCGCTATTTTTAATAATGACTTGGCCCGAAGACGCTCTTATCTCAACAGCGAAACATGTCATTGATACAAGTCTTTAAAAACCGAAGTTGAATTTTAATACCTTCCGACATTATGGATTTCAGTTCGTTCCTAATTTATTCCAAAATGTCGAACCAGCGTTTCTTTAGTTAGTTGCTGTGATCAAAAAAAGTAGCTTGCATGAGTACTTAATGTTAGTAGATCTCTAAGTCACGTTGCCGAACTTCGACTTTGTCACGTAGTAAACGCTTGGTACTGCCCTAATCTAACCGAATCTTGATGGTGCTCAGACGTTTCGCCGACATCGCGATTCAAGAAACACAGCTGTTCGTAACAGTCGCTGTAGAGTGTGAGGTGGCGTAGCCTGTGTTATAACGTAAAACAATACGCGTTAGTGAAAGATTAGGAAGCTCAGCGCACCGACTCGCTATGGTGGAGACTACGTTAAGATTCAGTGACCATGTTGGAGGAAGCCATAGTGGGAATGGAGTTAGTTATTGTGGCTAAATTGTGAACCAAATGTAGTAGTTTTGACCACTGAAACTCCCACGCATGTTCACGCTTTCTTTTGGCGGTTGCATGGCGCGCACTGCTTTTGTGTCTGTTCCTCGTGCACATAAATCTGTTGTCCCCCAAGAGTTCCTCTTCTGTTTGCGCGTAAGTGCGGTCCGCTGTTGGCCACTTGAAACTGTGAATGTCGTGGCATCTCTTTACAACTTCGTCCAGGTACCTGCATTCTGTCCACGAAAATTTGATCAGGTTTTACAACGATGATTG